TCATCCATCCAGCTCTTCATCCATTTATCCATCCATCCATCCAGCTATCATCCATCCATCCATTCATCCATCTAACTGTCCATCTATCATCCATCCATCCAGCTATCATCCATCCATCCATCCAGCCATCATCCATCCATCCATCAATCTAACTGCCCATCCTTCATCCATTTATCCATCCATCCATCTTACCGTCCATCAGTCCGTCCTCTCTTTCTCTCACTCTCTGTTTCTCTCTCTCTCTCTGTTTGCAGAACTACAATATTCTTTTCAGTCTGGACTTGTGTTAACAGAGTCATCCATCCGTCTGTTCATCCCTCCATCCTTCCTTCCATGGGTGGGTCTCAAGAAAACCTGACACCAGCAATAAACTGTAACTCAGCCAGTCTGACAGATCTTGAGTTAACCTTTGGTGTGGTAGAAGCTGAAACTGCTCCTCAACATTTGGTTTGAGAGCTCAACGATCGCACATGATCCGTTTCTTAAAGTTTGGCATTAACGGTTGGTGCCAGTCTTGTTTGTCTGTTAGTAAAATATCTCATGAACCACTGAACAGATATTAATGGACCTGTCAGAAAGAAAACACTGGATGTACGTCTACAACTCATTAACTTCTAAACGCAACTTGATTCAAGATGGCCACCACAGCCCATCAATGTTGTCAAACTCAAATGTCCAGTCAGTTTTACTGAGCTAAAGTTGGGTGTGGTAGTAGCTGAGGGTCATCCCCAACACGTGCTCCAAGTGCCCACAGATCACGCAACATATCTCATTAAATCCTTGATTTGCAGCGTAAAATGAATTCCTTCAAGAAATGAGCCGTTTTCTTGAACGTTCTAAAGTTTTGTGGTCCGAGCGTTGGACTGGCACGCCGTAAAAGCTTTGACTGTCGTGTTCAAAGACTTTCACAGATTTATTTTGTAATTCCCGTCCAACTCTTCTGAGAACCAGTTTGATCTGATTCTCCTGGGGGCGATTCCTGTTAGAAAGCAGCAGTTTTATGTCGATTGGGACGAAGTGAGGCAGGAATAATCCCATCAGCTCTGGTTCTGTGGGCTGAGACAGAATACGACCATTCTGAAGGGATCACGCAGAGAAAAGCCCCATGTCAGACAAGAAATTCTGCAAACGTAACAGTGGCGCCACTTCTGTTGCCATATTGGATCTTTAATGAGATGTGTTCATGAGTGCTGCTGGACCCATCAGGCAGATTGGTTCAAGATCTGGAGCTAAAGTCCACATCTGAAACTGCTCCTTTGTGTGTGTGTGTGTGTGTGTGTGTGTGTGTGTGTGGGGGGGGGGGGGGGGGTGGGGGGGGGGGGGGGGGGGGGGGGGGGGGGTACAGTTTAAACTGTTCAGAACCATGTCCAACTCGAAGCACTGACCCCACCCAGACTTCTCCTCATCGCTCACCCTGGAGTCTTCCTCACTTAAGCAACACGTTGGTTGTTTTAAATAGAATTTTGATTTAAGGTTGATCCATAAAGTTTAATATAATTTTCACTTTCTTCGTTGATTCTGACATACATATTTTAGAAATCCAGCAATTTTCAGTCAGGTCAGGATTGTATACCTGGATTATTGAGCATAGGCTTTGTTGGTTTTATTTTAGAAATTGTTTCATATGAGCATGGAAGACATTCATTGAAGGAATACATATCACCTTTCCTGCCAGAGTTGTTGCCATTTAGTCAAACCCTGAAAATGACGTCATGTGAAATCTTATCCAATCTGTTAGCCCTCAGAGTATGTTTTGAGGATGACTCTCATCTACTTCCACACCAAATTTTAGCTCAATATATGTAAGATTAGCATAATTATACAAGTGCATCTAAAAAAAATTAGATATTTTTTCATTCATTCAACCTTTATTTATACAGGTTAGTCTCACTGAGTCACGAGGACTCATTTACAAGAGAGACCTGTTTTAAACAAACCACAGATAAGACACACACAACAATAAACAGCCATAAATGCATATAAAACAAAAAGTAAATAAAAGTAGTGACATAAAACTAAATAGATCAATAAATAGAAAAATAAAATCAATAAAAAATAAAATCAATTGATAGAAAAATAAATCAAGCTACATTATGAAAAGCGGTAAAATACTAAATATTGTAGACGTGTTTTTTTTTACACAATTTCTTTCAGAAAGTGAAACTCATATATTACATAGATTCATTACACAGAGTGAAATATTTTAAGTATTTCTTATTTTTGATGATTATTTCTTACAAATAATGAAAAACCAAACCTCTGTTTCATAAAACTAGAATATTCCACAGCCAGCTTTTGGTACCTTTGGCAGTGTGGGCCGATGCCAAGTCCTGCTGGATAATGAAATCTTCTTTAACATAACTAGACCTAAACATATTGGGAGGGGCTACATATCAGCAAATTTAACTCTTGGCACAAACAGACCTCCGTATATTAGCTGCTCACTTTTTTGTTGTTGTGCTGAAACGTTTCACCATCCATCCAGAAGGCTTCATCAGTCAAGGAAACACCAACACAAAACTGATTCTTCCCCCAACACCTTACTCCAAAGTGGAACAAACCAGTTATGTTGGTGCTAAGACGGTCTCTTTGGTGCTCCCCCTCCTCCGGTGCCGACCCTGTTCCTCGTCAACAGTCATGTCAAACTGATTCAAAACCAACAAAGTCCATGCTCAATAATGATGAAGACTTCTGGATGGAAGGTGAAACGTTTCAGCACAAAAAAAAGAAACTGTCCAGATGACCTGACTGAAAATTGTTGGTTTGTATACCTGGATTTTTGAGCATGGACTTTTTTGGTTTTAAAACAAAGTTTTGTGTCGGTTCGTCTTTTTTGGCACTCGCGGCTTTCCGTAGTATTTACATTCTGTGTAGCCAACATGGCGTCGAACGGAAAAGTAGTTAGCTAAGTTAGCTACACTCAGGTCAATTTTTTTAACAAATATGTCTTATTAGGGGTAAATTAAATGCATTTTTCAGGACTGTTTGTTCTTCAGTTGTTAAGTTTGTAAAAGTTTGCACCTTTTGTTCATTTTAGGTGAATTACTAATGTTTTCGGACGCGGCTAGTTCCTGATAGCCGTCAGCCGCTGGGAGTTTTCCTGGAGAATCATGGCGGAGGTGGACGAGCTCCGGCCCGTCCCCCGGGAACAGGCCATCCTGGAGAGTTTCTTCGCCCAGCTCGGGATGTTTTCCTTCGACCGGGCCAAGGACTACGTGGAGCGGGAGAAGGACGCCAGCAGCCGGGGCGCCGGCGCCATCTGGGGCTCCCTGCTGGCCGCGCTGGCTCACCTGGCCGCGGCCGAGAAGGTTTACAACAACCTGACCTACCTGGGACAGAAGATGGGTAACTCACTGACTTCCACCTCTGATACTAATACCAGCCACTACACGCCCTCCGACTGCTCGGTGTTCACCTGAAACTGTCAAGAAACTGGTCCAGATGAATAAAATCTGAACAGAAATCATGTTTTGTTCCTCCGCCCTGCATGTTTGACACCAGTTAAAAAGAATGAACCCAGCGGCTTAAATCAAGGAAACATGCAGGTTTACACAGTAAAGGTGATGTTTGCTCATCTACTCTTTGCTCTCTTGCAAATACAATATTTATATTTTTCTGTAAAACATCAATAAATTAAAATAGTTTTTATTGAATGTCCATTTTGACCTGGAACTGGCTTGAGATGACAGAAAAGCAGAGCTACCTTCCACTGGCTTGTTTACAAATTACATAAAGGTTCAGTGCTTCATAAATTATGTTAAAACGTTTATTTACTGTGGCGAGCCCAAATCTGAACATTTTAACTGTCGTGGCTTTTTATTTTTATTGTTTTAACTCTGGTCCAGACGAGTGGTTCTACAGTTGTGTTCCCGAGACGTAACGCGTTCGAATGACTCCAGAAATAACTTCAGTCATCACAAAACTGTTTGATTTTAGCTGATTTATCTCTAATCGGTTGTTTTTAAATTCAATTTGAGCTCTAGAAATCACCTGCAGACGCTTGGGTGCCAGAAAACTGCACAGTGGATCACTTTTTCACTTTTATCAGAAGAATACAACTTACCGGTACTTATGCTTGTACATAAAAAATAAAATACAACGAGTAACTAAAATAGAAACATTTATTATAGAATTCCATCTTTTTATTGCCCAGTTATATTAAAGATACTCATTGCAAAGTCATGAATCTTAAACAAAATCTGCACAATTGTCATTCTGATGATTCGTGTGTTTTTAAATTAAAGATTTAATGCAGAATCTGTAACTGGCTGTCACATGACACGTTTGTTCACATGACACATTTGTTCACATGACATGTTTGTTCACATGACACACGTTTGTTCACATGACATACGTTTGTTCACATGACGCACGTTTGTTCACATGACACGTTTGTTCA